CTATTAAAGGCTGTTGATGTGATGTGATGTGTGATGCGAGTGTGATTTCTGTAAAATACTATGTTATGAAAAAAAAATCTGCGGGTCGAAGAAGAGATAAAGAGATGGGCAAAGGAACGATGATTACCGACATATCCCACCGGATTAGCAAGTCAAAGTGAAAATGGCCGTGGGTTCGAGAGGTTCTGAACTGCAAGGTGGACCGTACATTGATTAATGAGGGAAATAGATGACTTTCTAATGATCGCAGATTGACGAGGATGTAGGCCAATACCAACCGGTCTTAATGGCCATAAGTGGACCTCCTGAGACTAAAGTAATGATGTAGATTTCGTCAATCAATTACCTTGCAGTGCTGTTGTCCTGCGCAGTTTATTCCCTTAGTCGGTTTCTTACGACACCCACGGGATGAAAGGGGTGGTCACATTCCGTATTATTTATCCGTCACCATGCACCAATGTGCATTCTGAATTAGTTTAGCTGTAACAAACATATATACAGATATACTTTTAATTTTATGACACTCATCAGCACTATCATCACATATTCTACGGAATCGACTACCAATATGGATTAGTCTAATTTCCTGCCATAAAATCTTTTTATTTTAAAAGAGCTTATTTAATCTTTGGTTTGCACTTCTGTCACCTCGATGGAATTGTGTAACACCAGATGACCACTCCGTGTGGAGACGGATTAAGAATACAGAGTGTCACTACCCCCATTCATCCCTGTGGTGTCGTAAGAGCTGACTAAGGAAGCAAACGACGCAGGACAACAGCACTGCAGAGAGAAGGAAAACTCGACACGAATCCTATACCGACACGTCTGGCCAGTGTGGTATAGTAGTCCAAAACCTTTATAAGGAGAGGCCTAGGTCCAGCAGTGGACTATTAAAGGCTCTTGATGTGATGTGGTTTTCTGTGAGGCCGTGGTATCACTCCTTGTGACGAAACACACCCACTGAAACACTGCTGTTAACTTAGTCCATTTATCATCCGATACTTGCAGTCTCTTTCCTTCGTTTTTCTTACCCCTTTACCATCTTTTGTCTTGGGTAAAATCAAGGAGGTTTGGTGTCGGGCCCCGGACAAACTAAAAGAAACCAGATAAAATCTTTTGAAATCTTTTTAGTGGGTAAAAAATTCAATTCCTGAGAGGCAGTACAAAATGCCTTTGAAGAGTTTGTTGCCTCCCGTCCAGCTGATGTTTACAAGAAGGTGATGCCCTTCTCAATCCCTTCTCAATCTCAGAATCAATAAACTGCCAATGCGTTGGCAAAGATGCGTCGATTGCATGGGTGATTACTTCGAATAACAGAAATAAAAAAGTTTGAAAAAATAAGTACGTTCACTTATTGCATACAAAACGGCAATTTCATAGGTAAAGACCTAATATATTAAAAAATGAACAGCAAATACTCTCTTTGCGTGTAGAACAGTGGCTTTCTTCAATCGGATAAATTTAATTTCAAAATGTTATCCTAACCGATATAACAATATGGTTATGAAAACCAAAATTATAAACCATAATTGTAAGTCATTTTATATACTTACGTTTTGTTTGTTATGATTTCGCGCCTTACTCAACCGATTACTATGGTATTTTGCAAACACGTTGTAGGGGACAGCAACGCACATACTCGTATGTACTCAGATTTTGTCCAGGAAAAACATTGTTAGCAAAGTACTAAAAAATAACTTTTAGTCGATTTTCAGCCTTAAATAATTGTCAAGTTCACATCACATCAACAGCCTTTAATAGTCCACTGCTGGACATAGGCCTCTCCTTAGAAAGAAGGTTTTGGCCTACTATACCACGCTGGCCAGGCGGGTTGGTATAGGGTTTGTGTCAAGTTTTCCGTCTTTTTTTTTTTTGGAATGTCACTACCCCAATTCATCCCGTGGGTGTCGTAAGAACCGACTAAGGGCGCAAAACAACGCAGGACACTAGCACTGCATTGTCAAGTTAAACTTAAAAAAAAGTATCACTGACTTTACTGCATCATGATAAATTGCAATCAACTTTATTCTTAATTCCTCATTCTTCAAAAGTTAGAGGCTGTTTTTTTGACTAGACAGTGGTACTTTACACTAGGAAGTATGCCCTTATAATTAAGAAAAAGGATTACCCCAAGAGGGTCATAAATAACTGAGCTTTGAGATAACAAATACAAGACTATACAACTGAATCGAGAACCTCTTTCTTTCTTTGAAGTCGGTGAAAAAACTAATTCTGTCATTTAAAACTTACTAGTCCTGATGTCAAACAGTACGATATGAGTATCAAATGAGTCCTTTGTCATCTTTTTTGTCTCGGAGTACTCAAAAAGAATGAACTTTCGGAGTACTCGAATAGTAATAAATTCTATGTTAAAATAACATAACATCGTTCCACACGGCAAAATTTTCATCCTCATTACCTGGATAGTTGGCGCTCCACTACTGTGCGCTTTTCGAGACACTGTTTGCCCTGCACAACCAATCTGTGGAACGGGTTATCGTCTGCGGTATTTCCAGACCGATACGACCTTTAAATCTTCAAGAAAAGAGCCAGTATACCTTTCCAAAAGGCCGGCAACGCGTTTGTGACTCCTGAGTTGCAGACGTTCATGGGCGGCGATGTTCACTTTCCATCAGGTGACCCGTCTGCTCGTTTGCCCCCTTTAACATAAAAAAAAACATAGTTACGTGTTTATGTGTAAGTTGCAAATCACTATCTACACACAAAGTAGTTAGAAAATGCAATCTGTATTAAGCAACAATTTGTAATTTTGACACACAGTTGCATTTTAATTCGAGATTTAATTAATTAATTTTACCTACTTTGCTTAATAGCAAAATCTTTTTTATTCAACTAGAATAAAAAAGATTTTGCTATTAAGCAAAGTAGGTAAAATTCGCCGCCATATTTATTTCAACGCGTTCTAAAACTCATAGCACAAATTACTTTTACGTACCTTGTGTTTAATATTGCTGTGTAACATGTCCCAGAATATTGTAATTGATAATAAAAAGTTTTTTTTCATGGTATAAGCGGGAAAACGAGCAGACGGGTCACCTGATGGTAAGCAACTACTGCCGCCCATGGACACCTGCAACTCAAAATTCACAAGTGCGTTGCTGCTCTTGGAGTCCCTTCCGCTCGAGTCAGCGGGAGGGGCTATTTGGGTGCCGGTAACCTCACTCACTCAGTGAAAGGCAACGTAAGAATTACTTTACACCGGTTTTCTGTGAGGCCGTGGTATCACACCGGTCGAGCCGGCCCATTCGTGCTGAAGCATGGCTCTCCCACGGTAGAGCATAGCTCTTGTTGAAAAAGAAAAGCTAAAGAAAACGAATGCGTAGAAATGTACTGGCGATTTTAAGTTTTGTAATTTTTCATGTACCTAGTGTGACTTACAATTAGGATGAATTTAACGACAACTCAAACACGAAAATTCATCAAAACGTTCCATCCATACAAACACTCGAAAAACATACCCTCCTTCGGGTCGGGTAAAAAGTTCTTGTGTAAACTAAGAACCTCCTCCTTGTTTTGAAGTTGGTTTAAAACTTACATAACGTTAGCGAGGCCTTGTCTACGAAATGAAAACGTTGTGAAATATTTATTGGCTGTCAACTAAACCCTTGAATACTGTCCAACTCTCTACCGCGTTGTTTGTTCAACAAATAACTGATGTTGTGGTTGCACGTCCGCCCAGCCGGTCAGCGTGTATGGCGGCTGCGTGCGCATACGCACTCTCACTTGGAGAAATCGTCCCCGGAGCCGATGGTCAACAAGACGTGCTCACCTTAATAATGAATATTAGATCCATGAGCTTTCAATACTATTTTATGCATGTACACTCTTACGGATATAATATTATCCTAGATTTTGCCAACGACATAACTGGTATTATTTTTCTATACTTTGGCAATATGCTGCCTCAGTGGTGCAGTGTTAGCGTATGCGACTGCTGTTCTGAGGTCTCCGGTTCGAGGCACGGGTCGGACCAAATGTTTGTATCATCATCATCATCATCAGCTTACGATGAGTCCACTTCTGGACATAGGCCTCTCCCCTTGCAAACCACTTAGATCGATTTTGGCCTCGCATCCAGCTCCTGCCAGCCATCTTGCGCAAATCGTCACTCCACCTGGCCTGTTTATTTTCTATGTATAATATGTATGTTTTTACAAAAAAAGGAAATAAGTATTCTATCAGTCAATTTAGTTTTCATAGTCAATTTAGCTCTGCTTAGTTTGAAACCAGATGGCGTTGTGTGTCAGATGTCCAAAAGAAAGAAGAATTATATTTAAATTAAAAAATATATTTAAAAATTATATATATCTTTCTGAGAATGAAAGTTACCATAATTATGGTCTATCCACCATATTTCTACTTATTTCTACTTAACTTACCTCTGGATACATAAATGTACATATCTATACTAATATTATTAAGCTGAAGAGTTTGTTTGTTTGTTATTTTGTTTGTTTGAACGCGCTAATCTCAGGAACTACTGGTCCGATTTAAAAAATTATTTCATTATTAGATAGCCCATTTGTCGAGGAAGGTTATAGGATATATATCATCACGCTCAATCATCAAGACCAATAGGAGCGGAGCACCAATGAAGAATGTTTCAAAAACGGAGAAAATTTATTACTATTGAAAGACGCAGACGAAGTTGCGCGGGTCAGCTAGTTATAGATAAATTACATCCTGACACAAAACGTAAATATGATTGTGCTCATCACACAATATTTGTCCTGGTTAGAAATGGAACCCACGACCTCTGGCTTATCAGTCAGGACCGTTAACCACTTACTAGACCAAGAGGTCATTAAAATATATTTACAGAACCAAAAGAAATGTAAAGATAACATTATCACTTTATTGATTTAGAATTTTCTTTGTCTACAGGTTATAGCCAACAGAAACAGTGCTATTGAAGCAGGCTCTGAGGGATTCCAGACATGCTCTCATCTCACGACGCGTGACAGTGTGAGTGAGCCATGGGGTCCCGCGGTACTGCGCGGTCGCGCGGCGAAGCGCAGCGTACCCTGGACGAATTCGACGAGCTCGCAGGACTGCGAGGTGGCGTCGGAATGGGGGGAGGAGGCGATACAAGCAGTACTGGGGAGCGCTCCGCCTATGTCCTGGAGCATCTAGCTACCTTCACAGTGACGAGGGAGACTGGTATAGTGTATCCTGCTGATGGGATGCGTCGATTACTTCAGCTAGAGAAAACCAATGGTTAGTAAAAGTCAATGTTAGTTTTTTGAATAAGTATTTTACTAAGGATACATAGGTTTAATGCAGAGGAAGAAGTTCCCAGGGCTATGTCGCCTGAGGCTTATCGCCAGCAGTTGGTTGGTTGTTTATTTATACGTGGATGACAGGCATGCCTTTTGTGGAATACGTAAATTCAAAAGACTAAGATTCTTTCTTTCTTTTTTTTAAATAATTGACAACATATATAAAACAAGCGAGGACATTTTAATAATATCTATTATTTATTGCTCTCAAAAGGATAGTTAATTGTATTCTCTATTAAGAGTTTGTCATCACCATCATCATCAACAGGCTTTAATAGTCCACTGCTGGACATAGGCCTCTCCTTAGAAAGGAGGTTTTGGCCTACTATACCACGTTGGCCAGACGGGTTGGTATAGGGTTTGTGTCAAGTTTTCCTTCTCTTTGCAGTGCTGTTGTTCTGCGTAGTTTTCTCCCTTAGTAGGCTCTTACGACACCCACGGGATGAATAGGAATGGTGACACTCTGTATTCTTAATCCGTAACCACACGGACCAGTTTGGAGTTTGTAGTAGGTCCTAAACCTATGTGGCAAATCTCAAGGCTCTCCTTACTGATAAAGACGTATATATTTTTTTATTTAAACAACAACATTGTTATATGTAACACTAGCGCGCCCTCATCGGTCAAACCAAATAGCGCGCTCATTCGTTAAACCAAATAGCGCGCGCGTCCTCGACAACCTGTTACAAAATGTCGTCCCTTTTCACGAATTCATTCCTTACACATTTCAGCAAAGCGAGAAAAAAACGTTACACATGAAAATTTTTCGAAATATGATAGTACAAGGAAAGCACACGCATCTTTCAAACTTCAAGAAGTTTTATTACGGCCCTAACTAGTTTAAAAAGACAGTACTGCAGTGTAGTGGTGTACATAATTTATAGGAACTGTCAGCTGACAACATGTCTATGATAAAATGATGTAATGTTCGTGTTAGCAGTCACGTGTTATAGTTATGTTTGCTTTGCGATGAGTAAGATGACTCTGCTCTAGTGAGTACATTGCGCTGACCGAGTTTAATAAATTTTATTTATTTATTTAATAACTTTATGCACATAAGTACAATGGCGGACTTAATGCCATAGGCATTCTCTACCAGTCTACCTTAGGGTGGTGTGGAAATGACTGTGGAGGTGCACTACCCTTTGGTTGAGAATTATAAAGTGGACATAAAACAAATAATGTTAGCAATACTGTCTCGCACAGGAGAAGAAAAAAAAAAGGAGAAAAAGCAATGAAATAATATAAAAATAACAACGTATACATACAAGAATACATACATTCATATTCATGTAGATTATATTATAGATATACACATACATATATACCATTATACATAAAGTATCATATTTGTGATGATTCCGCCACATTCCGCTCAAGGAGAGCCCGCACCTTCACCCTAAACGAATTACGACTGGTCGCCATTCTGATATCGTGGGGAAGAGCATTCCATAGAAGTACAGATTGAGTGAGGAAGGAAGAATGAACACGCGCAGAAGTGTGGGAAGGGCATAAGAGTAGAAGATTATTTGTAGAGCGAAGGGTTCTGTTATGATTGGAGCACAAGAACTGGAAGTAGGATGTCAAGTATGTAGGCGAGTTAGGAGAGTTGAGAATAGTGTAGAGTTGTTAGTGCCCGCAGGTGACGACGCTGACGAATTGGGAGCCAATTTAATTTAAGTCGAAAGGTAAATTCCTCAAAATAGTGGGTACTATTCGCAGAGACGTGCGACTCACATTTACTATGCACGCACTTAGTCTCTACGAAGCAAGTCAGTGACTTTGCAGCGCAGTGGTTAACGGGCCTGTTGGTCTAGCGGTCCAGAGCTCGTGGGTTCGATCTCAGCCAGGACAAACAATTGTGTGATGAGCATGATCATTCGTTCTGTGTGTAGATGCATTTATCTGTAATATATATGTGTATAAATAAATATATAAGTATGTTTATTAGCGGTCTGGTTACCATATTACAGGTTTTCCCTAGTTTAGAATCAGACGGCCGTGTGTTGTGAAGTTATTAAAAAAGAGTCAATACAGTAATCTATGCTTGATTTAGTTGAGTTACCAATATCCACTGTTCATGATTTAATGTCTGATTAAGTGTATATAAATAAATAAAATGTAAAGTAGTGAAGTTATCATCATGGCTACAACGAAACACATAGACTGATCAACGATAAGCAATCACCACTTAGCGGTTCGCCGGTTTTCCCCTAGGGCAAGGATCACTGAGGCATATTATTATGTCTAAAGTTTGGGGCAGACAGTGGGCGGAGCGGCCTGAGCGTTTGTAGTGCACTAGCATTAGAATTTGAGCGCACCGACTTCATGGGACTGTTCTATAATCCGCTTACGCCGCGTTGACATTCCGCCCCGCTTCATTGTCTGAGAGAGCCTTTTTTTTTCGATAAAAGACAACTCTCGCACTAGGAATAAATCCTGTGTCGCGGGGGACTTTAAAAACATACATGAAACGGACACAAATAACACCCAGACTCAGAACAGCAATTTGTGAATCACACAGTGTCGTCCCATGTGGGGATCGGACCCACAGCACTCAGCGTAGTAGTGAGCGGCGTAGCGACCGCTTTAACCACTACGCCATCCGTGCAGTCTTTAAGTATGAATAACTGATGGATGGGATGTCCAGGTAACTGTATTTTGCGGTATCCTCTGGACTTAACACATAGTCCTAACAATAGCATTTGACTTTATTAGAATAGCTTGTTTACAACTTAACGCTAAAAGTTTTATTTTTGCAGGTATATGGAGCCAAAAAATGCAGTTGTGTTTGGAAGGCCAGTGGGTACTGGTTATGGACTACGAGACTGGGGTAAGTGGGAGATCTAATACTACTGTTTCGGCAAGTATTGGCTTGCTCCACGGGAGTGATACCATCTGACAGAAAACAAGTGTTGAGCTATTTTTTCGTTGCATTTTACTGAGTTAGGTTACCGGAGGACCAACCCAATAATTCTAGAGGGAGATTCTAGGCTAAGGCTACCATCACGCTCGTATTCATGGACGGCGGCATTTACTTACCATCAAGTGACATCTCTAAATAATACAGAATAGTAGTAAATATAGAATAATAATAATAATAATAGTGAATACAGAGTGTCACCACCCCTATTCATCCGGTGGGTGTCGTAAGAGACGACTAAGGGAGAAAACTACGCAGAACAGCACTGCAGAGAGAAGGAAAACTTGACACAAACCCTATACCAACCCGTCTGGCCAGCGTGGTATAGTAGGCCAAAACCTCCTTTCTAAGGAGAGGCTTATGTCCAGCAGTGGACTATTAAAGGCTGTTGATGAAGTGACATCTCTGCTTCTGAAGTGCAGACAGAATTAAAAATTTATATACTCATATACAAAGGTGTCGGTAACTGGATCGGTAACAGCTTAACGAGTTCAATTTGTTTTTTACTATCTCAAAAAATGCCCAAAGCGCCTAAAGAAGTTTTCATTTAAAAAAACTAACAATCCTTTCATATTTTGTTTAGTCAAAACTTGAATATCTTTGTTTGAATTTTATGAAAAAGAAGGACTTTCAAGTAACCATGAATTTGTTATTTCCCGAGTAATTTCTGCAAAGAGAAGAAAAACTTGAAAAAAACCCTATACCAACCCGTCTGGCCAGCGTGGTATAGTAGGCCAAAACCTCCTTTCTAAGGTAAAGGAGAAGTAAAGGCTGTTGATGATGTTGATGATGAGAAATTTTGAAGTCTTTTTTTACCCTAAAACCCATTCTCAAGACACATGAATTTGAAACAAATAATCAATCCAGCAGTTGTCAATGATGCATTTACTACATCATTTCATTTTTAGGGTTCCGTTCCGCAATAGGTTTTCTAACACGTAAACTAAGTATCTTCACTTTTCCATTGCCTTTGAAAAACATAACAACTACGCGTCCTTCAGTATAAGTTTCGTCGTCTGAAGCATTTTTTTTAAGTAAAAATATATTTTAAGTAAGCATACTATTTGTTTTTTGAGAAACTCTATCCCAATTAAAATGTTCGTTTAATAAAACGAATTACTAAACCGAGCAACAGATATAAACACTAGAACATGATGTTTGATATAAACAATACACTAACACCTAATTAAAATTCATCAGATTCATTTAATTTTTGAATCAACTTTCATTTAATTTTGTTAAATAATACGTGAAATGTTATGATGTAATATTATTTACACTTGCACATACATACCTGGTTAATTTACAGCTGAAGTTAGGAAACTGTTTAATTTTTGAAATGAAAACTTCTTTACGCACGATGGGCATTTTGGAACAACAAACAAAAGAATGTATTTTTGAGATGAAAAAAAACCATTGAACTCGCGACACTGTTACCGTTACCGACATCTCTGTATATAAGTATGGATATATATTGGCCCCGTTAACCAGAGAGTTGAGTTTGGGTTGAAATAAATTGATAATAAACTATATATAAAATAAACATATATTGTGTATATACGTACAACATAGATATATTTTCATGTCGGAACTTTTCGAATCGAAAAAAACAAAAACAAAATCCTGTTATAATTAAAACAAATTAAATTTTCAGGTTTTCACTTCTGTCGGCACACCCAAAATGCCACTGTTTTTTTCGTTTCTTATTTTTGTACTGAAACTGAATGGGTTTATATGGTATAGCGGGGTAAACCAGCAGACGGACCGCCACCATCATCATCATCATCATCATCAGACTATCGCAGTCCACTGCTGGACATAGGCCTCTCCCATTGCACGCCACTTAGATCGATTTTGGGCTTCTCGCATCCAGCTCCTGCCAGCCATCTTGCGCAAATCGTCACTCCACCTGGCCTGTGGGCGTCCTACACTACGTTTACCGAAACGCTTTATGGACCGCCACCACCGATCCGCAATTGTGACCTTTTGGGTTCTTCCCGAGAATTAGTTGGGCTAGGCTCTAGTGACCTCACTTACTCGATGAAACGAAAGAAATGCTTAACACCGTCATTAAAGGGATTAATCCAAAAGCCGGACCAAATTCCCATCCCTTTTTCTTTAATAACTGGCACTCCATTTCTGTACGATTTGCATGGAACTTTTTGGATATGACCAACAACCAGTGGAATATATATTTTTCTGCTGTAATTTCGGACTGATATGACCATCCAAGAACAGAGCGTACTCAAAAGGCCCACATTCCAATATTGAGTAGTTAGTATCTATGATAGGCATGTTCCATTAAAAAAAAAAAAAACTAAGATTTTACCGTATTGAACAAAGTCGACCGTTCAGATATTAAATATTTGGCAAAAACTCAATGAACACAATTCTAATTACGTTAGTTTACTTAATAGTAACGTCAAATACAGCAAAGCTAACTTTTAATTTAAGTGTACTTTCCTTTTTCTTTACAGTCAGTCATGGAGCGTTTCCCAGCATCTTGGGTTCATTCCCCAACAGCATTCACATCACCAGAACCCGCAGAGTTGTACAACAATGTGCTAGCGTTCGTGGTGGGTGCTCCAAGTGACTCTGCCAGCGGGGGTGGAGGCACTGGCGGCCGAGGCTCTGGTACAGGCCCTGAGAATGCACCTCGAAGAGAACTGCATATCTTCCAATGTCATGATGTTAGTGCACAAGCCCTTGTGGAAGAACTCAATGCTCTCAAGTAAGTCATGGAAAATTTCGTCGCAAAGATCGCACACTCACACTTGCTTTGGAATATCCTTTATTAAACATGATATAATAACGCGATTATGCAATTTATTTGATTTCGAGATACAGTCATTAGCGAATCTTGATACTGTAAGTCTTAATCGGATGTTATTTATTATATATATTATGGTCTTAATCGTCATGCATGACGCATATTTTCTACTTAATCAAATATACAGTTGTTTATATTTTACATACCTAAGAAAGATAAAGCGAGAACCAAAATGTCTTCGGAAATTCCCCTCATAAAACACTATTATTTCGATACTGTTAAACAAAATTATTGTCAAAATCATCGGACTGGGCTATAGAGAAACGATCCCATCAACAAATTGGCCCAAATTGAAGTTTTGATGATACCACAATCAAAAAATTAACCTTGTTTATAATTTATCTAATAAAACCCCTTTTTATTTTAATGATTAGTATTTTTCTCGTATAACTGCGTGAGTGTTGGACTGTTTGGACTGATAATTGCCAATGTTGATTTTACCAGTTATAGTCTCTGGTCAACACGTTTCAAACCAAACCATTCTGTTTCTTTCTTTAAATTCCATTATAACGTCAACATCAAAGCTATAAAATTAGTAACTGATATTATTATCACAAACGTGAAAGAGATGACAAGACAAGAGATGAATCTAGCATCTCAAGTTGTAGACCACAATAAACAAGACCTATATATTGGATGAAACGAGGTGACGAATTTATCTTAAATACTTCGAATATCTTTAGGATAATCTTATCGTAGAAGGTATTCTCAAACTATCTGAAGTGGAATGCTATATATGAACGCATTCTCGCCCAATGTTTTATATCAAACAGAAGTTTTTTTTGCCGGCTTCGGCTTATTCTTGGTGAGGATATTTATCTTCTTCTGATAAATAAACCATATTTTGTTTATTGGAGAGGCTGTAGTAGAAAATTTGACTCAATGAGAATCTTACATTATGGTGATTTTCAAGAGATCAGAATTACTATTATTAATGAAAGCAATAATTTTGCCTTCAAGCTACAGCTGATTCTGGATACCAGAAATGTCTTCAGTGAATAATGTCAGTGTTTTGTGTGTGTGCAGGGGTGTTAGAGAAGGTGGAGTTGGCGAAGGAGGACGTGACTTCATCATTGAACGTGAACGTGAACGGGAACGTGAAAATGAGACTGAGAGACCTAGGAGACAAGTGAGTAATTACTGTAAATATGATATTTGTATTAGCTTTGATAAGGAGGCATATTATTGCCAAAGTGACGGTTTAGTTGTTTTTGTTTTAAAAAAGACAACTCCCGCACTCGGAATAAATCCTGTGTTGCGGGGGACTTTACAAACATACTTGAAACGGGCACAAAGAACACCCTGACTCGGAACTACAAATTGTGAATCACACATAGTGTCGTCTCATGTGGGGATCGGACCCACAGCACTCAGTGTAGTAGTGAGCGGCGTGGCGACCGCTTGAACCACTACGCCGTATGTGCATATAATTCCGCCATAATAATTGGCTTATTGAACGTGTGGTTACTCTAAAAAAGACTCAGAAATTCATGGTAATGAAAAAAAAGATAGATAAATAATGATCACATTTCTTTTATATTTTTTTTCTTTTTTAACCTTGTCGCTGATGTTCTAACTACGAACCTTAAAACTAAATTATTTGATAATGGCGATAAACATTGCGATGGTATTATTTCATAGAATTTTCTGCGTTCCATACCGTTTAATATAGAAGGATTTAATTTGACTTGTTAGTCAAATACTACAATTTTCTAAATCAGAGGAAGAAGGATTTAGAAAATTGAACTCTACATTTTACCCTTTTTTTTTCTGTGCGGAAATCCCCTCGGATACCACTTACCGGTGGCAATGTCGGACTCGAACCGACTAAAACCGCACGCCGTCTCGGGTACTATTAGCCGGGGAACCAGGTATACCCTAGAAAGGAAGTCCCTGGTGCCCCGAGATACCTCGGGTCATCTACAGACGAGTAGACGACCCTCCCGTGTGGGAATCCCATGTTCCCTGTGCTCCCTGGAAGCGAGCGCGCTTCGCAACGCGCTCGCCGCCACCCCGGCCTGCTTCTGCTAGGGTGACAGATGGCCTCACCTGTCATCCCCAGGCCTGCGCTTATGGAGGACGGAGGTCGTTCTGTGTCTATAATTTTACCCTAAATAGTTTATTTTTGTGTGCGAAGCTTGTATTTCTGTAATTCAGACACTTGAATAATATGAAGTGGTGATTGAGTCAGAGGAAGTGAATTGTGATAAAATATTAAAGAATGCATACAAAAATACGAGCAAAAGTCAACCAAATGACAGAGCGATAAAGATCCTTTTCAGTTATCCAATTAGATAACATTGTTATGTTTGATCGAATGAAAATGCTATTGATAAATGAGATGATAAAATAAAACGGACAGAATATACACGGTTATAATATCGATCCGTGTGGTGACGGATTAAGAATACAGAGTGTCACCACCCCCATTCATCCCGTGGGTGTCGTAAGAGCCGACTAAGGAAGCGAACTCCACAGGACAACAGCACTGCAGAGAGAAGGCAAACTTGACACAAAACGTATACCAACCCGTCTGGCCACCGTGGTATAGTAGTCCCAAACCTCCTATCTAAGGAGAGGCCTATGTCCAGCAGTGGACTGTTATAGGCTGTTGATGATGATGTTTATCAGCAGTCTGGTCAGGCTCTGCCTAGTGTGGGATCAGATCGCCGTGTGCGGGATAAGTGAGGTTATTATTATTATTATCTTTATTTCCTTAAATATGCATATAAATAAGATTTTTAAATACATTAATACAAAATAAAAACAAAATATATTTCAAAATATAAAAAGTAGTGTCCCATCGGTATCGGGTACAGGGACCAAGATAGAGGAGGACTCTAGAGACAGAAGCCTCCTCACAATACGTGTCGTATCGAGAAGAACTGCTTTCTGCTTTAGGCCCTTAATCCAGCTGCATGACGTGAGCCTCTGAAGATATTGGTTAGGGCTTTTATTTTTAAGGATCTCTCAAAAGAAGTAAATGTCATTCTCTGTACATCTTGAGAAATTAATAATTACATTACACACTTACATATTCACGTATTAATTAACCACCCACAAAATTTTAATCCAACTTACCGTATCAGTTATCTGTGTAAGTTTTGAATTAGTTCAATGTATATTACATAGATGGCGTTTAAGGTTAATGACAGGCCTGGTGCTCTAGTAGTTAGTGACTCTTGACTGCCGCGGGTTGTAGGTTTGATTCCCACCCAGGACAAATGATTGTGTGATGTTCATGATCATTTATTCTTATGGGGCGTATTAATTTATTATTAGTAGTGTATTAACCCTCCTACTAGAATCAAGGAGAGAGGAGGGAGGGTTTGGACTCCAGTAACCTCATTCACTAGGTGAAAAGTAACGAAAGGAAAAAGGAGCGGGGGGAGGGAGGTTGTTTTGCGAGAGAGGTCTAAAAAACGTTTTTTTTTGTATTAAATGGTTATCAAATAAATATTGTAGAAAAATTTGTCAATTCATTAAATCTGTAATTAAGTTTATCAGATAGGAGAAAACTGATAATTTATTAGATATGATATTAATGACAGATATTGGTGCTGAGTCACTAATAATTAAAATATTAATTTTGAAAAATAAATACAAATGATGTAAACTAATCGATCCTTATAACCTTAAAAATAATAATAAAATAGGTTGACACATCTTATACACGCACACACATCTGAGAAGAAGATTTTATGAAGATTTCAGTGCAGGCCAATCGCTGAACGCGGTTACCTTGACAATCAATTTGAAGTGAATAAAACTCACAATTGGGTCTCTGATTCCGCACTAGTCGCAGCCTGTACCATCAGGTAAAATTACGGCTGTTAAATCTATACTAATATTATACAGCTGAAGAGTTTGTTTGTTTGTTAGAACGAGCTAACCTCAGGAACTACTGAGCCGATTTAAAAAAATCTTTCAATATTAGATAGCCCATTTATCGAGGAAGTCTATAAGATATATATCACCACGCTAAGACCAATAGGAGCGAAGCACCAATAAAGAATGTTGCAAAAACGGGGAAAATTTATTCCTTTTAAAAGACGCAGACGAAGTTGTGCGAGTCAGCTAGTGGACCTATCTACACATCTATTTATAAAGATGTTAAGTTGTGAACGCTTCAAAACCTCGCTTCTGCACCGATTGAGCTTAAACTTTGACACGATATACAACCAACCGATTCTTGAAGCAAGGATTGTTTTTATATATTTTTCACGTCTCTCAATAGTAATAAATTTTCTCCGTTTTTGAAACATTCTTTATTGGTGCTCCGCTTCTGTTGCTCTTAGCGTGATGATATATAGCCTATAGCCTTCCTCGATAAATGGGCTGTCTAACACTGAAAGAATTTTTCAAATCGGACCAGTAGTTCCTGAGATTAGCGCGTTCAAACAAACAAACAAACAAACAAACTCTTCAGCTTTATAATATTAGTATAGATTAATGCAATCAGAATATGCCACAGCTAAGGTTAGCTGTACCTTACTTACTATAACTAATAGATACATAGATTACGTCCAGATAAAGTGCGTGTTTATCACGCAGTCGAATCGAATCGGAATCGAATCTACGCTTTCTCACAAGTCTGTATCACTAACCATTAGTCCTAGAGGTCTACGTTCTATCTAATCGACTAAATTTTTATCTATTACTTGTCTATCCTTATCCTATATATCTTCCTATCCTTATGATTAAGAATACGGGTGTCGTAAGAGCCAACTAAGGGAACTAACTACGCAGGATAACAGCACTGCAAAAAGAAGGAAATCTTGAAACAAACTCTATACCAACCCGTCTGGCTAGCGTGGTATAGTATGCTAAAACCTCTTTCCTAAGGCCTATGTCCAGCAGTGGATTATTAAAGGCTGGTGATTGATTTGATTGTCTATCCTAAACATTTGTGACGTCATGTAATCTACCTGATATAATGCCGAATAACAAAGATGTATTAAATAAGGGATTTTTATTTTCGACAATCCATTCCATATCTAATCTTTAGTGTTATTTATTAAAGCTGGATTTTAACCAAGTTTACATAATCACAAGGTATGTTGTTAATTAGGGAATTAACCTGATAAATTCCGCCATTTTAAGCCGTCTTCCGTGTGGTGACGGATTAAGAATATAGACTGTCGCCACCCCTAATTATCCCGTAGGTGTCGTAAGAATTAAGGGAGCATATTACGCAGGGTAACAGCACTACAAAGAGAAGGAAAACTTGAAACAAACCAAGTCCACTGCTGGACATAGGCCTCTCCTTAGAAATGAGGTTTTGACCTACTGTACCACGCTGGCCAGACGGGTTGGTATATGGTTTGTTTCAAGTTTTCCTTCTCTCTGCAGTGCTGTTGTTCTGCATAGTTTTTTCCTTTAGTCGGCTCTTACGACACCCACGGGATGAATAGGGGTGTGTCACTCTGTATTCTTAATCCGTCACCTCACGGACCTATAAATATTTCAATCAAATAGAAACTTATAAATATATTTTTACGAAAATATCTAAGAATAGTTAACTAATACAGTGTATTATTAATACTATTTAATACCCATTCGATACTCCGTTATACGCTACCTATAAACAGAGGGAGCATAGATTATAGTTATCAAAAGATAAGGTTGTTCATTTAGCAAGCGGGTTTTACATCATTCCGTTGCGGGCGATGGCTGCAACATGTCGCGAATGTATCACACACTCACAAAACAACAATGGGAGGCTGTTCTACAAGTAAGGGATATCTCGTGGAAGATTACAACAGTTTTAGCAAAAAATGAATTATATTCTTCTCTGTATTTTCCAGCAAATGGCAGTACAGTTGGGTCGTAATGACCGCAACGAACGGAGCGGATCCGGCGGCGATCGCGACGATGCGTCATCGACCGGCTCCGAACGATTATACGAACAGGATATTGCGATTCTAAATCGATGTTTCGATGACATCGAGAAGTTCATCGCGCGACTGCAGCATGCGGCTGCAGCATCACGCGAGTTGGAAAGACGGCGAAGGTCTAGAGGAGGGAGTAAGAGAGCAGCTGGCGCTGGAGAGGGAATGTTGGCTATGAGGACGCGACCACCACCAGAACGAGACTTCGTAGATGTGCTTCAGAAGTTCAAACTTTCTTTTAACTTACTGGCCAGACTCCGTGCACACATCCATGATCCGAATGCTCCAGAATTAGTGCACTTTTTGTTCACTCCGCTGGCGCTGATAGTAGATGCGGCCCAAGATGCAGCTGATGGGCGATTACCATCGAGGGTTGTCCAGCCGCTGTTGACGAGGGACGCACTAAATCTGTTAGCGAACTGCGTAACCAGCAAGGAGACTGAATTGTGGCACTCACTTGGCGATGCTTGGCTTATACCCAGGTAATTTATTTATATTTCCTTATATCTATATTATGGTAGATGTTCGCACCATGTTTAACTCAAGTTTATGGTTAATACTTTTCATCAAAGTGTGATATTAAAAAACCCATAACATCAGGAACTGGGCTATTAAAAGTAAAAATAAATATTACAAATTGGACTGCTATTTCCTGAAATTGGCTTGCCTAATTTGATCAGCTTTCATTCATTCTGCTTCTATAATAATATAAAGAGTATAACAAACTATAAGACTTTCAACTTTCTTAGGATTTCGTGGATAGTTTGCATACTGTGTTGAGCATCTTTTAAAAGAACTGTTACATGTGTGTTAAATTATCAGTTTTTACAGTAAGAAAAACATTGTTGTAAAATCTACGACAGCATTCTTGATTGTTTTGAAGGGTTTTCTATAATATCAGTCCACATAAAGCATGGTAAACTATACCTAACCTTTCTCATGTAGAAGAATTTTATTTTATCAATAATCTAATCTTATCTCACCTAATCTCATTTAAATATCTAAATCATTATGTATTTTTATAAGCTCCACCGCTAACGGTGAAACATTTGCGTCTAGTATTTTTTAGAGATAGTTTGTGTCGGTCGGTTCTTATTTAGAAGATAATATTAGTAATTTTTTATCATCATTATTTTGCCTGCAAATTTTCCCAATTTTATTTGGGATCTCGCGTAATTTTGAACTAACACTGGAAAGAGATTTGGCTGATTTCTTTTATGGCTCGTCAGCCAAGAGTCGCCTGTTTGAAGCTAACCCTTCTTTGGAACGTAAACGTTTTAAGACGGTGCATAGGATAACGTAAGGCATGCCGTAATATTCAGAAAGAGAAACCAGACTGAACCTGCAGTAGTTTGAATAGACCGGTTTCAGGGACCTGTCTGTCCCTCCTGTGATTGGAGAAGCCATTAGGACATCGACATAGGCTGGCATGTTTAGTAAAATGTTTAATAGCATAGCTGTCAAATGAGCAGAAGAGTCACCTGATGGTAAATGACCACCACCGCCCAAGGACACATACGATTTAAGAGACATAAGTGCATCGACACCTTTTGAGAACCTACAGAATGAAGGTGGGGTTGGGTACATCACTCACTTGTTGAAAAACAAGGAAAGAATTGCTTTTCTGTGTGGCAGTGGTGCTCTCTCTTCATCATCATCATCCTTAACTAGTCCACTGTTGGACATAGACCTCTCTTTAGAAAGCAGGTTTTGGCCTACTATACCACGCTGGCCAGACGGGTTGATATAGGGTTTGTGTCAAGTTTTCCTTTTCTTCGCAGTGCTGTTGTCGTGGTAGTTTGCTCCCTTAGTCGGCTCTTACGACACGATGAATAGGGATAGTGCTAATCTGTATTCTTAATCCGTCACCACATGGTATAAATATGGCTCTGTCTTCAGAAATAATATTTTCAGTTGGTATCAATAAATCAGAAGGTTTTAAGCCAGATACCTATGTACGTCACGCCACTGGCATTTAAGGCCATTAAAAACTATCGTATTAACCTTTTATCGGATATCTATTCCATCAATGTCATGTAATTTATCAGAGAATTTTACGAAAATAATAATATGTTATACATATCAGTCGTATAATACTTGTAGTTATCGTATAATACTTTAGTTTGTTTGCCCTTTCTTCTCATAAGGCTCAACCCCTTGGAAACGGGCAGTTGTAGATCGGCACAGGCATATCATAGATTTTGTATGGGTTTGATTTTTGTTAAATTTATTTGGTTACTATTTGACAAAACAGAGATTGTTGCTTTTGTGTGTGTTGATCTATGACTTTAGAGTCTACATGGAAGACGATTTCAAACAATTTTGGAAATTTTATGAAATAAAGAAAGTTTGAGTTTATACATTAGTGTCAGTTTTATTATAGTAGGACTGGAACTGAACCTAGACGAAGATGGCTTGTACATCTCGGCAATTGAATTTAGAAAATATGACAAACGACAAACTTAACTTTCGCCATTTATATGTATATATATATACTAGCTGAGACCCGCGGTGTTACCCGCATTTGTTGTTATAACCGCGGGCAACGCCGCGGGGTGAAGCTAGTCTAAAAAAAGTAGCCTAAGTTACTCCTTATGTCATCAGCTATCTGCCAGTGAAAGTCCCGTCGAAATCGGTCCAGCCGTTCCGTTCCGACAGACAAAAATCGTAAAAAATGTTATTTTGACATATGTACCGTGTAAACATACATTTGCATTTAGTTAAAAGCGGTTATTTTAATATTACAAACAGACACTCCAATTTTATTTATTTGTATAGATATGTTTACTTGAAACGCACTCACGATAGATGTTAAGTACACACATTTAAACAGTCAGCCTGTGACCACTGCCAGTGCAATCTGGTCTAAACGTCAGACAATTAAAAGGCATGTCTTAAATACCTATTTTATGTTTTGGAACGCGTTAGTTTAAAAGTTAGTGTTTAACCTTTATAGCTTCAAAAAACACTCTTCCGTACATCACTATACATTACAATCATTTTATATTCGCAAAGAAAGACGTGCCTGATACTAGCTGTGTAATTTAGAACTACAATTATCCTGTCTATAAATGATAGATGATAAGTACTTCTTAAACTCTAGCCTATACAAGTCACGTAAATTATTAATTATGCACATAAAAATACCTTAAAAAATCATCTACCTGATGATGAAAAGCGCCTCAACATCCGTTGAGTGATTTAAGAGGAGTTGGTGGATTTATTGACAGATGCTCACAAAGACAAAGACATTTATTGCAAAGAAAACTGTGTTACATATATAGATGTTTTGTGGTAAGTAAAGTTTCAACAGTTACCCAATCGGGCATTGCAATTATAAAGTACACTATAAATAAAAATGGAAGATTACAATAAGTTTAAAAGGCATGCAAACTATTTTGTGAGAAAATACTCTTGCAAATTATAGAATACATTCTTTATTAACCATTTCTTAAGAGCATTCTTGAACATTTTTCCATCTAATATCTTTATTTCTAGCGGGAGCTTATTAAATACAGCTACAGCTTTGTTATATACCATGTAAAGATAATAATGTTTTCCCTTTCCTTGTACTATGAGGCCTTGCTTTTCGTAAAATTTCATAATATACCCCCGAAATGTTAAAAGTAAGTTTTGAATGGCGGTTTATTCGTTGATTCTGAAGATTGATTTCAAGGAACTATAAAGTAAGACACACACAACAGGGTCTTGGCAGACAGACAAGGGAGTGATAAATTTCGCTCTTTAATTTGGTGATTATAAAAGTGATGGTGATAACAAACTGTTACATTCAACATGTACTGATACATTCACTGATAGTCAAGTAAGAAACATTTTAAGTCGCAAAGGTTGTATTTCGAGGCTAGTGTTGGACACCTTTTAAAAGATTTATACATATATGTCTATTGCGTGCTAAATTAAAAAAAAAAATAACCTCACACTTCTCACACACAGCTGTCTGATCCCAAACTAGGCAGAGCCTGTGCTATGGTAAACAGACTGCTGATAAACATACTTATATATTTATAAATACATACATATACGTTTAGCAGTCAGGGTCAATAACCACTAGACCAAGAGGCCTGTCAAACAAATCAAATCATTTGTAAACTTGCTGTAACGGTAAGAAATATAAAGTTACATACAGACTGCAAAACAGCAAAGGTTATTTGCCCGTTTTGAAGAAAAAAAATCGACTATAATTATCTTTAATCTAGAGATATATAAATATCGCTACTATGTTATTATTTTTTCTATAACCAATTCATTTCGTCACCGTAATGTCCAACCAAGTATGTACAAGCGGCTTTACTCCTATCAAGCCATACACGAATTCTTCGAATTTAATTGAGCTATAAATAACTAATGATTTTATGGTTTCTTATTATATGACATAGATAACTTAAATTTATAGTACATTCATAGATACATATTATATTGTCAATGTCAAGTACATTTACTACAATAATATTTATGCGACTGAGCAATAGGGGGCCATATTGACTTTTAAAAATCCAAAAGCTTGTGGCTGATTTCTTTTATGGCCGGTCACCTGTAATGTAATCGCTTTCAGGCGGATTAAGGGACCTGTGGAGGAACGGATGGCATGCAACACAAAGAAAGGATCCTCCAACCAGGTGATCTGACACAGATCTTGCCTGTCGATTGATGTTGGGAATCGAGGAGAAAGATATTCATATCGCGACACAGGATTAGCAGTTACTTTGTAGTTCGGTGTGTCTCCGTTAGATGGCGCTGTAGTATGTTTTTGTTTCATGGTATATGGAAGTCGCCACAGAGTTAAAATTAATCACTTATTGTTGAGCTTACGTAGTCACTTACTATCAGGTCTTAAAAAAATTAATAACGCCTGGTTGTGGCCGCTTACTATCAAAACATCTTTGTAGTTTCAAATATTATTTGCTTAAACAATCTTTTTATTTTACAGGGAGCAATGGAAGACAGCCATCCCTCCTTACCAGCCCGTATTCATGGATGGTTGGAGTCCTGACTACCAAGTAGATGATCAACCCCTCAGAAGGTAAGAGAAGAAAAATTCTATGTGACCATCTTTACCGCTTTCTTCAGTAATGTCTGTGAATGTTGCGTCCATGATTGTTGCGTGATGTTATAAATGTATACATCCTAGGCCTATAGCCTCTCTTCGATAAAGGGGCTATCCAATACTTAAAGGATGTTTAAATTGGAACCAGCAGTTCCTGAGATTAGAGCGTTCAATGAATCAAACACACTTTATGTAATTAGAATAGAATATATATATTCCTAGCACCAGCGATAAGTGGCTGGCTGCCTTAGTGGGTGGACCTTGCCAAATTTTAAAGGGTTTTTCTGAGAGGAAAAATAGCCTAAGTTATTCCTTATCTACATAAGGAATAACTTAGGCTATTTTTCCTCAGCTGCCTGGTAGTAAAATATTATCGAAATTGGTCCAGCCGTTTAGAAGATACCGGAACCGGATACCCGGAACAATCAGACAGACAAAAAGACAAAAAAATAATTAAACTGGTCTTTAGGCATAGGTATCGTGCAATTATTTGCATGCCTATGTCTAAAAAAACAGTTTATCCGTGCGGTTTTTTTCATTCTCACAGTTATCCGTGTGAGTATGAAAAAAAACCTATAATTTTGACATTACAAACATACACTTATAAATAAATAAATAAAATAAACTTTATTCTGTAATAAAACACAACATACAACTTAATATAAATTAGTTGCTTAATACAACTTACAATAATATTACATTTTTAAAAGTTTTTTACGTGCAACACTATACTACGCTATCTGTGGTCATGAGTTGTCTGTGAGACTGTGATCACTTCAATTTTATTTATTTGTATAGATTGTCATATCAATATATACAAGTAGTAATGTGATTTAATGATGAATATATTATTATTAAATCCCATGTTATACCTTGCGAACAATACCTTCTTCTGAAACAGCCCCCTATATGGCTCTGACATCGTGTATGCTAAGTGCTCAGCAGTTGATGAGTAAGAACGTAATAAAAAAACACATAAATATATAAAGGCCTTGTTATATCTTTATTGTTTAATGATTTAAGCTTTTATTATTTGGTAAATATGGTATTCCTTGCATATAAATATGCCTATTCACAATAACAGTATTCTATAAGTGACTATCTATTACCCACGGTTTTGCTCGCGCTCGCTTATTTCTTATTTCATGTTGGAGAATGACAAACTTCCATAGAACCGTTCACCCTTTATGTTACCCCCTCAGGGGTGAAGTTTCCAAAATTCCTTTCTTATTGGGTGCTTACAACATAAAAACATCAGTTGCCAATGGTTTAGGCTCTGCGTTGACGAAACAGTCAGTCAGGTCATTTTATATCAGTCAGTCAGTCAGTCATTTTATAAGCATAGAGTTATCTATGAATATATAGTTGCTTAATAAGTTTATAACTATTAACATATACTTATACTGCATTATTGTGGTTTTGGCTAATTAATTTTAAGGCCGGGCCGCCTGCCTGTCGCCAACCCTCCTTGGGAATGTAGTCGTTTATACGATAGGGAAAGGAAAAAAGGAAACATCGGGGGTGAGAGGATTGGATGAGAGAGGAAAATTAGGGTGGGGGAATACCGCAGTACTAGGATGGGAGACAGAACTTAGACTGCGGTATGTACCAATATCCAGCGGTTGGAGAGGCCACCAGGACAAGTACCGCACGAACTGTATAATATATACTGTCTGATGATAAACAGTCCAAAGATTCCCTCAGTCGCCTTTTACGACACCCACGGGAAGAGATGGGTTGGCCTTATTCTACTCCGCCGAGAACCACAATTAATAATAATACACTCACACATCTCACACACAGCTGTTTAGTACCTAGACCATTGATAAATATAAATATATTCATACATTCACGCCTATCTCTATCTCCGAAAGGTTAGACAGAGGTGTTTTAAGCGCCCTCATTTTACCGACCGTAGTTTTAATCCTACTAACGGCACAGGGAAGCCTATTAGACTTTAACTGATCAATTTAGGATTTAGATTTAAAAATAAGTACAAGGGAGTACAATTTGGAGGGGAAGGTTGGAAGGGTAAAACATATACGGGTTGTAAGAGACATCGTTACGAATACTGAAATAGTGTATTCAGACCATAATTCTGGGTCGAAAATTATTGGAATTTTCTGCCAGAAAATCATTTTTTTTTTATTTTCCATTTTTTTTTTGGTTAAAAATGATATGACAATGAGTAAACAGTAAATTTTACCGACATAAATAAATAAATACCATACGGTCAAAAACTGCAATGTGATTAATCAAATAGCCGAAGCGCGCGGGGCCTCCCCTCCGGCCGCCAACTTGTATTAGTGTGCCTAGACTGTTTGCCCGGAATACACGTGTAGTTATTACTTTTGTGCGATACCTATAGGAAATGACCTTTTACCTTTGACAGCTGATTGCATAAAAAGTTTAACTTTCCGGCAGAAAATTCCAATGATTTTAGACTCAGAATTATAAGGGACATCGTAACGAATACTGAAATAGTGTATTCAACATTCCGTGTGGTGACGGATTAAGAATACAGAGTGTCACCACCCCTATTCATCCCGTGGGTGTCGTAAGAGGCGACTAAGGGAGAAAATTACGCAGGACTACAACACCGCAGAGAGAAGGAAAACTTGAAACAAACCCTATACCAACCCGTCTGGCCAGCGTGGTATAGTAGGCCAAAACCTCCTTTCTAAGGGGAGGCCTATGTCCAGCAGTGGACTATTAAAGGCTGTTGATGATGATGATGATGATGATGATGATGTATTCAACACTATTTCAGTATTCGTTACGATGTCCCTTATGTGATTTCGGGTTATATACTATATAGAACTAAATGATCCTAATCATTACACAAATATTTGTCCTGTTTAAGAATGGCACTGACGACGAGGTTAAGCAATTACGATAACTAAGCATCAAACACGCCAATAAAAAAATGCTTGTTCGTTTACTGGTTAGGGACCCTGACTGCTAAGTAGGACTCATCCAAGACAAATGCCTTTGTGTGGAGATTGATCATTGGTTCTACGTCTGGGTGTAATTTATCTATTATATGTATGTATTTAGAAATATATAAGTATGTTTATCTGCAGTCTGGTTACCATAGTACAGGTTCTGCCTAGTTTGGGATCAGACGGCCGTGTGTAAGATGTGTGAGGTTATTATTATAACTCGAGTAATTTCCTTTCCTTCAGTTGATATAACTTTTCAATACCATAATAATATTAAACAATACCATCCTGTTGTTATACAGGTTTATTAAACAAATATGATCGGTTGTCTTATATATATTTGTTGTGTTTTTGTTTTAATATCAAACGTTAAGTGGTTGCGGTGATGTGTGTACCTAGTCATAGTCAGCTAGTATAATGTGGGACTTGAGAAAAGCACTTCGTTGTGTAAGGAGTTTTAAGTTGTGGACGAACTTGGCGATATATAGGTTAATACTTACACCTTCACTTTAGAATATTAATGTGAGTGTATCGACCTAGAAATACCGTGGGAGAGCACAGACGGGGCGGAACGACCAGTCGACATCATCCACAACCTTTTATAGTCGCCTGCTGGACATATACCTCTCCTAAGAAAGGAGGTTTTGGTCTACTATACCACGCGGACCAGACGGGTTGGTATAGGGTTTGTTTCAAGTTTTCTTTCTCTTTGCAGTGCTGTTGTCCTGCGTAGTTTACTCCCTTAGTCTTACGACACCCGCGGGATGAATAGGGATGGTGACCTTTCGTATTCTTAATTAATCCATCACCACACGGACTACCAACTAGTATCTGTACCTATAAATAAAATTGTAGTGTCTGTTTGTAATGACAAAATAATGGATTTTTTTTAATTTTATTCATGCTCACATTATTCGTTATTTGCACAATAATAGGTATCGTGCAAATAACCGTGTCTAAAAACCATTAAAAAAAATTGTTGTCTGTTTGTCTGTTTGTTCGGGTAATCTTTTAATTGGTTGGACCGATTTTGATAATATTTTACTATCATGTAACTGTATATATAAGGCGTAACTTAGGCTATTTTGCTTCTCAGGAAACCCTTTTAAAATTTTGTCCGGTCCGGCAATCGAACCCGGTAACAAAGGCGCAAGCCCTTCCCCCAAAATTCTAGGGGGTCACCCTCAAGGGTGGTAACGCACTTGTAAGATATAAATATAAATCAAGCTGCAGATGTCCATAGGCATTGATAGGCACTTACCACCAGGTGACGTGTCGTCCCCGTATGCTCGTTTGCCCCCCATAATAGTAGTCAAAAAGAAGCATACGTTATCAGGTATAAAAGGATGCTTTAATTCAGAAATGAAAAATTAAAAAGGTATACCTGCATTGGTTTATAAAAGTAACTTAGTCATGGGCATGTAATAAACATTTGAAACACCAACTATGCGATTACGCGTTTGCTAAAACTTACGAATTATGGCATCAAAACAACGGCAGTTCTACTTTTGTGATCGCATAATATGATCGCACAAGTAACAATCGCAACACTAGTAATTTGATTTGTGCAATTAAGTAGATAGATATTACGATACTGCGTAAAACACTTAAAATCTTCAACGTATCTTAAATATTTATAGATACTGACTTAAGAATGTTTTTATTTCTTAATATTTGAAATATTTCAACCAGAAACAAATTACTTTCAAATGTAATTTAAGAAATCCAGGGCTTCTTAGGCTGTTAGACTTTTGTCACGCTATTTCATAGCATAATCTTCAAACATTTCTTTTTGTTAAATTGTCTTATTGTTTTATTTTAGATAGCTTTTCAAGGTTTTTTTTTATCTTTCTATTATGTTTAAATTGTGAAGTGCAGGAGCTCTATACCTTAATGTAAATACGTTTTCTGTGACCCCACGATACAGGCTTACCTAGTGTGGGGACCACGTTAAATATTTATCTGATAAGATCTGCTACACTTATTTTATGTCTTGTTAAGCACTCCTGTCTTTTTTTTCTTTGTGTTTCTAAATATATATTTTTTTCATTTTTCATTCAGTGTAGGGTACAAAATATAAGGCTTATTGGTAAATGTCGTATTAAGGAGTGTTGTCACTTGTGACTTTAAATAATCGCAATGGTGGTGTTAATGTGTGTGTGTTATTTTGCTTTCTGTGTATATCACCTTTTTTATGTGTTCGTTTATGTAAAGTTTTCGTGTGTGTGCGCGTAATCACATCACAATATCGTAATCACATAGATCATCGCCGCGGCGTAGCTCAGCGGGACAAGGCGGTGTAGAAAGCGCAGGCGGCGAGCGCTTCGACCGCTATGAACGGGATGAGCCTGATCTCTACGGGGAGCAGTTTGCACCATATCCCACCCATCCCAGGTGACGTCATTACGTGTTTTATGTGCTTTTCTGTGTGCTTGACTTTATAGCAAAAATAAGATATTTTTTAGGTGCTTCATAACCTGACGCCTTACGCCTAAAGAAATAATAACAAAACAAATATATTTTCATTCTTTTTTATAGTCACTTTAACTCAGATTGGCGGAAAGTCGGAGCCCTTTAAATCTAACCCTTTTTAAGGGTAGTTTAGAAAAAATAGTAACAACGTTTTTTGTTCCTTTTAATAAAGAGTATTTAGATAGATAGAAAAAATTGTACACCAGGGTTTTACAGACTAAAGTAATTAACAACAGATGTAATGTACAAAGGGCGGCCTTATCGCTTAGTGCAATTTCTTCCAGGCAACCTTTGGATGGATTCATTTTGAACTGGTGATAGGTATACAGAAATTAGAGAAATAAATAAGGTCTTAACCTATGAAATATTTATTACAGATAAATCCTGCTAATCTGTATTTATACATAAATACTATACATACATACGTTAATATATACATACGCTAATTTTCAACTATTAGAGACAGATAATGCTCATATAGCATAGTCTTGAAGGTGGTTACGGTTTGCGCACGTCTGATAGTAACCGGCAAGGCATTCCATAAACGTGCAGCTTCTACGGAAAATGATTTTGTGTAGAAATTGGTAGAATGCCTTGGTATTTCCAATCTCAGGCTTTCAGAGGACCTCAGACATTTCATATGTGTGTCATAAAGGAACTTAAAGCGTTCTTTGAGGTAAATAGGAGTTAATGGATTTAACAGTATATTATACAGAAGCGTAAGGATATGAGTATTCCGGCGAAGGTGGATCGGAAGCCACCTGAGCTTTTTACGGTAGTGGGAAACATGATCATATTTGCGAAGTCCGAATATGAATCGTATGTAAAAATTTGCTTTGAGTTTGAAAACACTACTACCAAAAAAACTAAGTCACTTATAAATTTTCAACCCCCCTTTTACACCAAGGTGGAATTTCGTAAAATCCTTTTTTAGTGCTCACCTACGTCACCTTTTTTTTTTTTTTTCCGTGCGGAAATCCCTTCGGATACCACCTGTCGGTGGCATGTCGGACTTGAACCGACTAAAACCGCACGCCGTCGCCGGGTACTAATAGCCGGGGAACCAGGTATACCCTAGAAAGGAAGTCCCTGGTGCCCCGACATACCTCGGGTCATCTACAGACGAGTAGACGACCCTCCCCCCTCCCCCCGTGTGGGAACCCCATGTTCCCTGTGCTCCCTGGAAGCGAGGGCGCTTCGCAACGCGCTCGCCGCCACCCCGGCCTGCTTCTGCTAGGGTGACAGATGGTCACCTACGTCACCTAAGGAATATTTGTACAAATGTTCATGCTTCCAGACCCAGCGGTTGCCTTCTGTGCAGTGAATCAGTCTGTTAGTTTCTTCTTTTATAGATATATATTGATCAGATAAACCTTCTAGTGATTAGTGATAGTAGGAACTCAGCAGGCATGAGATAAAATCGCAATCACCTGCGATTAATCATACGACTTAAAAATCATTTCATCACTGCAGTGACTAATCTGCAACATCACTGCGACTGATTATTATTATTACGCTAACGTCAGACACGCGAAAGGTCTAAATCAAAATTTATCTTTGACTATAACTAAATCTTAGTATTGATTTATCACCGGTGAAATCACTCTGACGGAAACGAATCATTTTATGAAGTGAATATGAATTAATGTCCCTGTGGTGACGGATTAAGAATACAGAGTGTCACCACCCCTATTCATCCTGTGGGTGTCGTAAGCCGACTAAGGGAAAAAAACTACGCAGAACAACATCACTGCAGAGAGAAGGGAAACTTGACACAAACCCTATACCAACCCGTCTGGCCAGCGTGGTATAGCAGGCCAAAACCTCCTTTCTAAGGGGAGGCCTTTGTCCAGCAGTGGACTATTAAAGGCTGTTGATGTGATGTGATAAAATCTATGTAATGATTTATCACGGGTGAAATCACTGTGACTGAAACGAAACATTTCATCAAGTGAATATGATTTAAAAGCAGCAATAATTTCTATGTCTAGTACTAGCTTACATGACGCTAGACGCACTTCCAGGCAACCGTTTGTCCCTTCTTTAACCCCTTAAAATATCCGAATGACCTTTCTTTAGCATTAGCTGTCAAAATGTTGAGTTTGTAGCCCCAATCAGTCAGGGCAAGTAATTTTATGAGTATCATCATCAATCATCAACAGCCTTTAATAGTCCACTGCTGGACATAAGCCTCTCCTGAGAAAGGAGGTTTTGGCCTACTATACCACGCTGGCCAGACGGGTTGGTAAAGGGTTTGTGTCAAGTTTTCCTTCTCTCTGCAGTGCTGTTGTCCTGCTTAGTTTTTTCCCTTAGTCGGCTCTTACGACACCCACGGGATGAATAGGGGTGGTGACACTCTGTATTCTTAATCCGTCACCACACGGACCTTATTTTATGAGTATAGATAATTTAATTCATCCAGATATTGTATGAAAAGAAATGAATGATGAAAAAAGAATGTAGAAATACCTCTCTGGTTATCATAGATCAGGCTGCGTGTGAGGCGTATCAACTTGTTATTAAATCTTTGTAATTGTTTTTTCAGGAATGCGAGGGCAATCGCTCGTGAGGACTCTGGCTCAGCAGCGTCCTCACCAGACCGTGAACAGGTGTACCGATCCGAAAGAGATGAAGGTTCGTATGTTACTAAAGTTCTACTATCCTATCTAATCGGCTGCGCTGATGGAGTCGTTTGATGTTAGTTTAGAATGGGTGTGATTTTATCAACTACCTACCTAATAAATGTATTTTTATTTATTTTTATTTTTTAATGATCTAAATGCTCCGATGGGTAAAAGATGCACATGTCTGGTGCGCAGGGTGCGCTGCAGCGTCAACAGTATCCTGAACATGATCTCTGGTCGGCTGGACTGTGGTTACAACAATCGTTGCTGCGCAATTGCGTACGGAATGGCGCAGCAATGATTGTTGTGTGTGTATATGTGTATCTTTCTTTCTTTTGTTTTGTTTTATGGTTTGTTTTCTTTATGTACTGTACTAACAGTAGTCTCTAAGAATATTGTTACATTGGACACCATGGTCTGCAATAAAAAGTTTATTATTATAAATAATACTTATTCTGGAAATAGTAGATATGTCACTTAAATTGAATCATCAACTAATATCTAAACGGTTACCTAAATATCGATAACTAATTACTTGAAAATAATATCAGTCACTCATTATTTTCTTTATAGATGACTTAGGAGAGGCTTGGGCGAGAGGTGTTGCGGCCCGTGGAGGTCGTGTTGTTCGTGTAACTTACCCTCGCACTGCAAACAATGACAAAGAACTTACAGTCGTACGCGGAGAGTATCTTGAGGTAAGCACGAACAATCTTCTAACTTAAATCCATCTAGATCCAGGAGGATCATCGGCACATCGGGATCGGAGGAATTTTATAAAACATCGAATGTTAACGATCATATTAGAAACGCAAACTAAATTATTCTAAATTTAGTCAGTTTGCTTTACTCGTCATCGTTTTTCTATTTTTCGAAAAAAATTACAATTTATGTATAAACTTACATTGTTTCTGCAATAAAGCAATTGAATCAAGCTTAAACCGCCTTTCTAAGGAGAGGACTACGCCAAGCAGTGGACTGTTTAAGGCTGTTGATGATGATGATGAATCAAGCTTAAGCTTTATTGTTATACTATTAAAAAAGAACCATTAAATCTTGAAAATGACTTCAAAGAAATACAATTTCAACTTGCAAAGTTTTTCGTAAAGTTACGAGTACTTTATAATTGGTAGCAGTAAATCTTGACAAATAAAATAATAAGATGACGCATCTCACACACGGCTGTCTGATCCCAAATTAGTCATAGCCTGTACTATAGTAATCAGTATTCAGATAAACATACTTTTATGTATTTCTAATTACCGTGTGGTGACGGATTAAGAATAGGCAATGGCATAAAGAGCTGACTAAGGGAGTAAACTACGCAGGACCACAGTACTGCAAAAAGAAGGAAAACTTGACACAAACCCTATACTAACCCGTCTGGCCAGCGTGGTTTAGTAAGCCAAAACCTACTTTCTAAGGAGAGGCATATATCCAGCAGTGGACTACTAACTAAATTTAAAAACACAAAACATTTTCAATTTTTTCGCATGTTTTTCTTCGGGCCTATATAAGTATATTATTGTAACAGGTACTCGATGACTCGCGAAAGTGGTGGAAAGCACGCAATCGTCGTGGTGTCACTGCTCATGTTCCACATACCATCGTGGCTCCTGCGCTGTCACCACCATCCTCACCACATCTCTACCCCAACCCTATCTACACGCACTACCAGGTACGTTAACTGTTAGTCGGTTAAATAATCCTTATGTTAATAGCAATATCTAGTCTTGATTACTTAACTGTTTCTTATTTCTGATTTTAAAAAATTGATTTCATATCTACAAGACTACTATAATAGATTTGAATTATAATCTGTCTAAGGCGTTTGACTGTATCAACCATGAAATCCCTTAATTCTGAAAACATCAAACAGATCTGACTTTTTCTAGTTATATTTTTTTATCTTTTTAATGTTACCTTTCGTGAAATAGTAGTAAGTAATAGGTACAGTAAAAATAAGTACGACATAGTGGCATCGTCTGTAAAGAGGTATACCACAAGGGCTATTGGTAGGTCCAATCCTGTGAAATGATTGAGCCCCTATAAAATGACGTCTGCGATGTTCAAAAAATATTTAAATGTTACATTTTATTTTGCACAGGAGAGCGGTACTGGTGGTCGGGGCTCAGGCGGCAGTAGTCCAACTGGTGCGGCCGGTAGGGCAGGCGGTGTTCAAGGGGCGGGAGGCGCGGGGGCCGCGGGTGGCGCCGGTGCCGATTGGGTGCGACGCGAGCGCCTTGGCAAGAAGGGCGAATTCCGCTACTTCTAACTCACCTAAAGTACCAAAGTGCAGAAAGTACCGGCGCCCCCGCAGCCCCTACGCTTGTGTGTGTGCGTGTATGTGCTAGAGTGTGGTAAACGCGGTCCGTTCGCTGCGCTTCCCCATCGTCCGTGTCCATTTGCAAAGCTGTGTAGGGAATGAATTATGTTATGCATTAATGGGTCCGCAGGCGTGTCGTTCGTAATGTGTACATATCATAAATTGGGACTGTTCCGCGACACGAACATATCATTCAAGTCTGATTTAAATTATTCAATTTGTTAATGTATTTCGTATCGCAAAATATGGCGGCGTATCGCATTTGTGTGGCGCCGCTGCAATCATATACATGAGATATGAGATCTGGACGCGCTCGTAGTATCCATCATATGTTTTAAATTATTAAATTGTGATTAATATCGCGAATATAATAGATTATCTATATCTAGATACAAAAATGTAAAAAGATAAGGATATATTTTCATATTGTTAATATATTGTATACGGAGTGGATACGTCTGCTCCGTTTAGTTAATGCTCCGTGTTTGTACCTACTATATTATTAAACTCATATTTTTATTCAAACATGGTGTTGGTCTGTTTGTCTATTCCTCAACCTATATCCTCTTCGCTATCACTTATATGATTAGTTATCGAATACCGCTTATCACGGTCAATTTATCAAGAAAAAGTAACAATTAAATATTTATATAAAAGAAAAATTGGTTCAAGTTTCTGTCGAGTAGAGTTAGTCAGAGTTAGATGTTCTCTATTCTGTCGCGTTTCATTATCTTTTAATTGTCGTTAAGTGTGTGTGTGTGTGCTTTGCTTATTGATCAGTGCTGTGTATCAATCTGTGTAACTATGTCACGGTAAGTGTGCTAATATTTTTTACTTATGTTTTTATGTTGGTAATTAATGTTTTGTTAAATTTTTTACTGGTTTTGCAAAACTTTTAAATATTTCTAAAAAAATTTAAGCCTGAAAAATTGATAAAACTAAAATTTTGTATCTCTCTCTGGTGTTACTAAAGTTGTTGTTATTAAAATAGCAATATCTCAAAAAAATGTTTTAGAGGTAACTCTAAAACTTTTTTTATAAACGATTCCTTTTTTTTAGATGTTGATTCTTGGATAAAGTTTTAAGAATTTTAGTTGAATTAAAGAAAATTCGGAAAATTAGATAAAGTTATAATAGCTTTATAGAAAATGTAATTTACGTAGATTAGTACTTGGTTATTTTTTTTAGACATCAACGACTTGTATACGTGTTATTTGGAAAAATCGAGTATTAGCTCCTAAACTTTCACTACCCAAAAATGTATCTACTAACTAACTAGTAGTCATCTAGTAGTAGTCAAAAGTGATCTTAGTATAATCACGTGATTATCTTTCAGAAATAAATAATCCACATTATAATATTATAAAACGTGGTCAAGCAGAGATCGGAATTTATTACATTTACGAAATTAAATGTTTGTGGAAACTGAAAAAGAAATATCTTCCTAGAAGCTTAACAAGGACTAAATTAAAACGTTTTGTATTAATATACGTGAAATAGAAATTATAATATATTTTTTAAAAGAACCATTCGCCAAAATGTATATCCATACTAAAAATTTTGCATTTTTTTTAACCAACTTGTGATCTTTTGTGTTGAGCTAACGTTTGTTATAAAACACTTAAACACTCCATACATAATCGTTTTAGACATGGACTGTAATTAACTAAACTAAACATAGGTCTTATTTTAAAACTAACTGAGATGTTTTGAATCGCCTTTGTCAAAGGTTGTAGTTGAATCAAGGACATCGGCAGCGAGACAGAAAGAGAGAGACTTCGGGCGCGACGGACTGAATGTTAGGTGTGATTCCTTTGATGTTAGGCGGAAAACCAGAGTGAACTGTATAAATAATTGTTTAGAAACACTGGTTAAGTACAGGGTGTACGGGAAAAGAATATAAAGCCTTTTCAGAGGCTTCATGCATTAAACAGTCTTCTTCTTTCGTTTATATCTTGTGTAGAAATTCTTAATTACACACTTAAGTAATTTAGCAATTTAATTATATTTTATATTACAAAGCTAAGGCGTATAAAAACTTGTAATTTGAAAATTATTGAGTATTATTAAAAATAAAATCAAAAACAAAGACTGCTACTAAAACCACATTATATTGTATTAAAATAACCCTTTGTTATTTCCTATAACTTTCTGTAATTTTTTTTAATCTATATCTGCCCCAGAGTACATAGCTTGCTCAGAGGAATTTCGCATATATAAGGTGACGGACTAAAAGTACGCCAAGGCTTAGAAAACACAATTGTAATTCACGTTAATTACTCCTTATTAGGCAATTTGCACTAGAGAGAGAGAGAGAGAGAGAGTTACAAAGTTTTTAAATCCGTGATTCAAATCAATATTTTAAATAAAAACGAAACTTTGAGATACTTTTTTATAAACATGTTTTGTATTTTTACGAGTGTATGTGTGCGTTACAGAAAAACTGCCAACGGTAGAACCTCCGCCTCCACCGCCGCCACCACCACCGATGCCTCCTCCAGTCACCCCACCCCCCACTCGCACAGACACCTTAAAGTGTAAGTTCTTTTTTTAAGGAATAAGCGGCAAACGAACAGACGGGTTACCTGAAAGAAAGCAACTACCGCCGCCCATAATCGCCTGCAACTCAGGAGTCCGGTCTTGAAGAAGGGAGTACGCTCTTTTCTTGAAGGTCGTATCGGTCTGGCTCAGCGGTTAAGGTCGCTGACCACTAAATCATCAGGCCAATCTTAACTTTAAATGTGTTATGAATGAAAACTAATGCAAATAAACCAATTTATACATATACTAGCTGACCCGCGCAACTTCGTCTGCGTCTCTCAATAGTAATAAATTTTCTCCGTTTTTGAAACATTCTTCATTGGTGCTCCGCTCCTATTGGTCTTAGCGTGATGATATATAGCCTATAGCCTTCCTCGATAAATGGGCTATCTAACACTGAAAGAAGTTTTCAAATCGGACCAGTAGTTCCTGAGAGTAGCGCGTTCAAACAAACAAACAAACAAACTCTTCAGCTTTATAATATTAGTATAGATATAATATGTACTGCGAGGGAATCGAATTCGTAGTCAAGCTACGTAGGTCAAGCTGAAACAAATTATTGTGATGACCGCCGCCATTTCTTGTTTGTCTGGATGTAATTTAAATGTAACCTGTACTTACATACTTATAGATATGAAACTAACCTATACCGATTTTAAAAGTTTTTTCACTAATAGAAAGCTACATCTTCAGGGAGTAACATAGGCTACTCATACACACGAGCGGAGTCGCGGGCCAAAGCTAGTACGGATTTACTTTGTAGTACATAAGTCTAGTTTATCAGCAGCCTGGTTGCCATAGTCCAGATTATAACTGGTTTAAGATCAAACGGTCGTGTGTGAGATTTCTCAGCTTATTATTGCCATTAAAAAGAATTCAATGACCCAATGAGCTTTTTGATAAATTAAAAAATAGGAGTACAATAATAATTATTATTATCTACAAGCAGCAGTCAAATCGATGGACCTGAACGAGGAACTGAAGATGGTACTACCAGCCATTACACAGCGAAGAAACAAGTTATTGGATATCAAGAAAACTCCTGATATATTCATCGATCAGGTAAGACAATTACCATATACCCTGAATCCTAGTTAAGTTTGGGCTAGATATTAAAGGCAGCCATTAATTTCTTAGGTATCCGCTCCCTGTCAACCTATGGATCATGCAGAGAAATAGAAAAGCAAAAGAGCATTAATTAGGTTCATCAATCATCATCATTAACAGATTTAACAGTCCACTCCTGGACATAGGCCTCTCCTTAGAAAGGAGGTTTTGGCCTACTATACCACCATGAGTAGATGGATTGGTATAGGGTTTGTTTCAAGTTTTCGGCTTGTACGACACCCACGGGATGAATAGGGGTGGTGACACTTGACTCTTAATTCGTCACCACACGGATAATAATACTAATTAGGTGACAAAAATGTAAAATACTCAAACTAAAATTTGAAAACAAAGGTATTCGTGACTTATAGTTTTATACGAGGGGTGGGAAGGGGGGATTTTCTTTGTGCTGTGGGGACGAAATACCCGGTTTTCAAAAGAGGGACAAAGCGTTTGCTTAAAATAACTATCTTTTTAAACTTACCTATTTGGTAAACTGGATAAATGAAAGGTAATAAGTGATTAAAAACTTAGGACCTTCGAAATCTCAGTTAGAGATTCTAATTCTAGCTCATAAATATACTATAATAATATACCTATAATTGACTTCATTGAAATAAATAATTGCAATTACGACGACCTTTGTCTATTACAGAAATCAAATCCAGATGAAGTAGTTGAATGGCTGGAAGCAAAAGGCTTCAGTGGAGCAGCAACGAAGGCTCTACGCATGCCAGGCCACCAACTCTTCGGGCTATCTCGCTCGCAGCTCGAACGAGTGCTGGGAGTTGAGGAGGGGAAACGGCTTTACAGTCAAATATTGGTCCAACGCAATGTCTCTGGGGTGAGTCGACATCCCCTCTTCGTGCATCATTCTGGTGAGGCCGCACACTCGCACCAAGCATTCTTGACATATATCACCGCTAGTAAATTTTCCATGAGACTGTACTTGTTTTCTATGTGCGTCCACTTGTAACTTATAAACAGAGTTGGTTATTCAGTCACCATAAATACACTCACCCATGTATTCCAAAAAGAGGTAGGCCGATGGGAATTAAATACCCACAAAAAAGATGATGGTGATGATAAAAGATGGAGTAATCGGAAAGAATAGATTTTTTTATCAATTGTAAAAAAACGTGACCATGAGGTTGTTTGCCTGTTCTTCTCATAAGGCTCACCCCCTTGGGAATGGGCGATTGTAGATTTTCTATAGGTATATATTTATTTGCTAAATATTTTACAAAGCAAATTTTGCTGTTGTGTGTGATGTTCAATGACCCTAGAGTCTTTACGTAAGAGACTATTTCAAACAATTTTAAAATATTTTTATAAAATAAAGATATTTTGACTTGACTTTAATTTAAAAAAAGCAATGTCAGGGGAAATATTTCGGACTGAAACGGAAAATGTGATTAAAGTATTCTGGCTCTACCACAGCTCTACATAGAACTTGGAAGCTTGTCCTTCAGATACATGACATTGATGAAATTACAAGACATAGCAATTAATCGTGAGTTGAAGTAATTTAAGTACGTCCATCTTATTCATAAAGTTGATTTAAGTTTATCAACACTTATAAATACTATGTTAAGGAAAGGAAAATATATTATTGAGACGAATTTTAGGTTTTTATTTCATCAGAAATGATCTTAGAGTAGACAAAGACATTTGTCATTGATGAACATCACAATTTGTAACTTCTGCTATAACTATTACTGATGTTAAAATTAAATTTACAGTTCAAAACGACTTCGGCATCAGAACTTCAAAACTTCCTGCGCAAAGCGCGCGAGAAAGTGGAGGTATCCTGATCGAGCATAGACGACCTCGTAGGAAGGCACCTGATGAAGACAGCGATCACTCCAACGACAGTGATTCGACAGCCTGCTGATAACAATATTTGCAATAATGTCGATAATATATTATTATAAATGACAATATTACACTATTACTAATGTATATTTTAATAATTTGTACTTATTTGTAATTATTATTATAATTTATTTTGCTATTAATTATTCTTTTATTTATTGCCGTTCGGTGTACCAAAATATTTTGAGGTCTAATAAAACCGCTGCGCCTCCATGTTCAGTTTCATCGGGATAATTGTAATTCCTTATATAGCTAGCTTTGCCTAGTAAAATGTGTCTCATAAATAAATAGTAAATTGATGTTCTTCCGTGTTGTGACGGATTAAGAATACGAAGTGTCACCACATCTATTCATCCCGTAAGAGCCGACTAAGGGAGCAAACTACGCAGGACAGCAAAGAGAAGGAAAACTTGACACAAACCCTATACCAACCCGTTTGGCCAGCGTGGTAAAACAAAACCTCCTTTCTTAGGAGAGGCCTATGTCCAGCAGTGGACTATTAAAGGCTGTTGATGATGATGATGATGTTTTTAACAAAATCTTCAGTTTTGGCGGTTGATAATAATTTACTTGTTATTATTGTCTCTAAGATTGTTCGTTTTTTCTTCGTTTGTATATATGATAACTGTATAAATCATCAACAGCCTATACTAGTCCACTGCTGGACATAGGCCTCTCCTTAGAAAGGAGGTTTAAACTGTATAAAAACTGTATAAAACTACTTTCCAATGGGATAACACTCGGTCGGTTACCTGCTGGATCTTCTTTGGATTCAGGGCAAGTTTTTTTTTTGTGTTGTCGTGTGAGTAGTAGCACAGACATAACAAAGTAGCCTGGATTATGCATCAACAGCTTGACTTTAAAAACAATATATTTAACTGAGAGGTCAGAGGTTCCTCAGGCCCACCCAGTTCCAGTTTTCGGAAATGGTCGAGTCATATTGCAGTAGTATCGAATTAAGACTTATTTTTAATCTCAATAGAATTATTATTAGACTGTTAGTTATTGATATCAATAAGCTTGATATTTTGATTGGTCTCACTAGATTGTAAATATGTGGATTCGGTGATTAATGTTCCGAGACCCATACCTCCCCTTAATTGATAACCAAGAGCCTCGACTAAAATACAGGTATCCTTACTCGTATAGTGACGAAATAAATAAAATTGCTTGTAATGTCAAAATAATACGTTTTTATGCCAAAAAAACAGTTTAAATATATGTTTGACTGTCTGCCTGTATGTTTTTCCGGGTAATCTTCGAAACAGCTGTACCGATTTTAATAATATTTAATTAACAGGTAGCTGTCTATATAAGGTGGTAACTCAGGCTATATTTCCTCTCAAAAAAACCCTACAAAATTTTGCTCGGTCCGGGAATCGAACACAATACTACACCACTAAGGCAGCTCTTTCAAATTCAACCCGCACGAAGTCGCGGGTACCAGCCAGTAATTTTTAACATAAGAATAATAGTAACCTCTTTATTGTATTGAAAATCGAAGATGATAAAGACAAATAGTGACCTTATCGATATTGCCTCTGAAATAGGTGTTACCGACACATTTAGGGACCTTTCGTAACGGTGTCACTATTTCAGCGACTGACTACTAGACATTGTAATCGTTATAAGATGAGACATTGGAAGAAAATAAATTGAGGCAACTAAAGAGTAAGGGAGCTTGATTAAAAGATAACGCAAGTCTGGGAAGATTTTTTTATGACAACCTCACACTAGAAATATTATTCTGAGTCGCGGGGAAGAAGAGAGAAAGATGAAATGCTATTGAGACTGCCGTAGCTCGAAGAGGCCTGAGTCTTACCTTTATATCTGTCGTGTGGTTGAAGATGCCACTAGGACAGTGCAAACTACCCTTAATTTAACTTATAATTTTTTTTATAAATGCAATGTTAATATAACATTCCTAGACCGGACTACAAGCCGGGGTGAAATTGATGATGGTGGCATGGATGGTGAAGTGAAAATATGGATAGGAGGCCTACGTCCGAAGACGGAAAAACTAGGGTCTGAAATGACGATGATTATAAATGTAACGAAATGAAACAAAATCATGGAATCTGTAAGAATTTATCTTTTAATTCGCAATAACTTTGCACTTATTCTATAATACTTAGACAACGTTGTGACAAAATGGAATGTTAAACTGGGACACGGTTGTAATTAAGTACATTTTTTAAATTACAATGAAAGGACATTAAAAACCAAAACAGATTTATATACAATTAAACACAACATGCATCTAAATAAAAAAAAATACAGTCTAAACTTTGAGCTGTAATGGCTTATTATAAAGGGAATATCCATTAATTACGTGAGGCAAATAAGGTCAGTTAAGTGATTTAGTAAAATTTAAACAAATCCCATTTAATCTGGGTAGGTGTTCTTGTTCTCTCATTGTTTTTACAATGAGAGAACAAGAACACCTACGAGGTATGAGGTCATCTTAAAAATATAATGATGAGATTTTTCTAAAACAAAAATCTTACTAAATTTCGCCAAGCGGATAAAGATGAGTCTAAATCAAAAGGAAAACAGCTCACGTAATTATTGAATAATTTCAAACAAGTTTAAATGAGCAATTGCGTAAATTTTAATAGATTATCAAACGTTTTTATCGATTATCTAGAGTTAGTGACTTCACAATTTGTGTAAAAAAAACGAGCGAATCTTACAGTAGTTGTATTTAAAGTGTAAAATCTGATCTACAATCTGACTGTCAAATCTAGCACCACAGCGCTCATTGGTAAAAACAAATAGCACTTCCCCGACTTGCTGCACTCAAGTCCATCCTTTTTCATGAAATTGCTAACAATAGATAAGAGAAATTTACACATGTCTCGAAGCACAATCCTTATTAATAGAAGATCCTGCAACCAAAAACCTATTAAATATAGGCTATTTCAATTCAGGATCTTCTTAAAACATACCAACACATTCCAGTTCTGATAAATTGTCATAAACAATAAGTTTATTTGGTATATCAATCAATCAACAGCCTATAATAGTCCACTGCTGGACATAGGCCTCTCCTTAGAAAGGAGGTATCGCCTACTATACCACGCTGACCAGACGGGTCGGTATAGGGTTTGTTTCAAGTTTTCCTTCTCTTTGGTATACTTAAGTTTTAATTATTTATCTAACTACAACTAGATAGGAACAGAATCTTACACAACATAATATATTACATGATATTTGATAATTTATCATACTAAACATTCACATTAGTATTAACGTAAATATTTTACTTATTAAACTTTTTTTATATTTACATACCATCCAACAGGATTATACTTATAACGTAAACTGCAGCAACAACGTTTACAATTCCACTCCATAAATCACGCTTCTCACAGAAAACTCGACAGTTATTTATGGTAGCAGCTTTCAATTGTCGTCAATTGTCAAAAACTAATGTATCTTCCAAACGAGACATTTCTATAAAACTATCAAAATTATAAAAATTGGCAATCAAACAATTTATTATTTGTAACTACAATCTACAGAATCAGATAATAATATTAAATCAGTTAACATACGTGCTTCTCTTTTACTCATACGTGAAGTTAGTTTGGTATAAATGGAAACATTTTGCCGTATTAAAAACGTTGACACAGTTTACGTTTGATACCTAGACTTTATGACCAAATACATCACTTATAAATGATAGTAATAAATGCAATAGTTACATCGAAATTTAAACAAATTCAAACTAAAATGTAACTATTTTTGAAGGTTATACCACACCTTTTGGCTAACAAATAAATTTACAAAGACATTCTTGTTAGTAATTATCTACCAACAGGAATACAATGCAAAATTTTCTTATATATTCTTTAATGTAACCTTCCATATTTTTAAATTTCTTAAGCACATTAAGTTCTGACTATCAAGTCCAAGTAACATTGAAATCGCATGACTTTATCTAAATTAAAATCTTATGTACTTCCTTCAAAATAAAATTTTCTATAATATATTCTTACCCATTACTTCCTTCACATAGAAACATTTACACAATATCACATTTATATAGAGATTAAAGTATATTCGTTTTGTACACTACAACAATTACTGTGCATAGCTTAAAATATTTAACATCCTAACAGTTATTGTCACTTTAGCAGGCAATAATTCAGGTCTCCTACACATTCTTGGCACGAATGTCACTCATTAAACCAGATTTCATCATCATCTTCATCCTTGACCATCCTTGCCAAAGCTTCAGGCCGTTAAATCTCTTTTTCGGTCTCTGCTTGCGCTCATTTTTACTCTAGAAGTTCTATCTTCTCATCTACATACACCCACAAGATTCCACCACCATGTTCGGCAAAGTTTTCTGCGTCACAGTATTTGTTGAATCCATGTAAAGTAATTGCAAAGAGCTGAAGGTAGTCGGAGCACAACAAGGCTTGAATTCTGCCTTTCGGTCGGTCACCGAGTAGAAATATTTCTGCAAACAAAAATTATGCCTATTAAAATAGAATTCTAAAGATTTCTTGAAGTAGTTGAGTAAATTGAGTAAATTTGATTTCTTAGGTTTGTAAGCAATGAGTAAGCAAAACAATAGATTTTGGGTGTTATAAGCATAATTTTATTTTTTAATTAATAAATAAGTAAAATGAAATAAATTCCTTTTGCAGAATCTAGTGAAATATAAATCAATATTATATGATTCGAAAAGATCTGTATCTTTCATGTTCATTATTTTTAGACCAGGGTATATCACTATGATGAAAATATAGAGTAAAACAATAATTATTATTATTAAAATGCTTTACTTGTGAAGCACTTTATTGAACACAAGATTAAATCTGTCTGGCTTTTATTAATTTTATTAAGTAAAATAAATTAAATATTATTAAATATAATTTTAATATCTTTGTCTAAACTACTTATGAATATACCTATGAATAAAAAATGATCTAGGCTTACCCTTATAATATTATGATGATAACTATCAGTGTTGGTCACTGCTGATATGGGAGCACAGCTGCCTTTACAGAAGTAGGCGTGGTAGCCGGCTGGTCTGATGATCCAATCATCCCAACCTAATTCCTTGAAACTGACATAAAGAGGCTCTCTGCAACATTCGCTGGTAGTGGCACTGCATTCAAGTGCTCTGCCCTGACGTCGTTTACCGGCATATTTCGTATATAGGACGAGGAAGGGACGGTGTTTCTCGTGGAAAGAGAGAGGCGATCGACGCAACTGAAAAAATACAGAAAGCTATGTTAGTTAAATTATTTAATAATATATTCATAGAAGTAGATAAGACGTCATAGCTTCATGGAGAGAATAATTACATTGAAATTAGAGTAAAATCGTTTCAAGAATCTATGCAAGAGCTTATTAGAAATTCTCGTAACTGACCACAATCAGAAAGGTCAAGTGTAAATAATGAGTCTTACAAAATGACTGGTGAAGTAATACAATCAGGATCCTGGATGAACAATCAATCTGACCTGTTTATCATTATTAATTACGATCGAAGTTCATTTTCCTAAGTGGATGATGTTTTAAATTCATGTATATAAACACAGTATTACTTAATAAGCATAGCTGCGTATGACATAATCGGTCTAGGAACTCTAGTACAATAGTAAAACACGTGTTAAAGTCTAGAAGATATTGCATTAGTTACACATGGCAAATGGTATACTGGTTGAGGGAATTCGATTTGCTGTTGCTTCACTTGACCGTGTGGTGACGGATTGTCACCACCCCTAATTATCCCGTGGGTGTCGTAAGAGCCGACTAAGGGAGCAAACTACGCAGGACAACAATATTGCAAAGAGAAGTAAACCTTGATACAAACCCTATACCAACCCGTCTGGTCAGCGTGGTCTAGTAGGCCAAAACCTCCTTTCTAAGGGGGGGCCTATGTCCAGCAATGGACAGTTAAAGGCTGGTGATGATGATGATGATTAATATTTCAGCATATTTTTTCTTACCTGACAAGTTCTGCACGCCACGTGTAAGTTGTGAAGCCTTTCTCTACCTTCCAACCAAACTCTGACGGCCCAAGCCAATTCCACTCTGACCCATCCCTCGCCAATATCAGTTTCCTTGATGGCAATTGGCTTGGTCTTCTTGAACTGTTGTTGGCTATCCCAATGTGCTGCTTCAGAGATTACGAAAGTTTGATTATATTCATCTAGGGGATCTCGTTCCTGAAAAATATAGTTTTACGAATTAGAATACATGTAAAGTAAGGAATTACATTGCAAGGAATTACATTCCCTAAGTTAAACTAACGAGTCTTGGCATCCGAAAAAAATTATAGAGATTAATTAATTATCGGCTGAGTTTAGCTTCATTTCATTATTAGACTCATTAATATCTTTTAAAATAGCAAGAAAAAAGATCGTGTGACTAAATCCTCCATGTCCAGATCCTGAATCATGTTCTTTATTTCATAACAAACATAAAAACTTCATAACAAACTTAAAAGAAAACTAGCTTATACCTTATAAAACCATAATTCGACTACGTTGACTTCTTCTGGTTGTACATCAGGAGGCAGCTCAAACTTTAGACATTTATAAGGATATCGTCCTGAAGTCAAGCATTCTCCTGAAACAAAATAAAAAAAAAACTTTAATTTTCATAAATTCATACAATCAGGCCTATATCACCGAACGGGTAAGCAGAACCGTGTTAAACAAATCCATCTTGTCAACACGAATTTGGTCGCACTCACAAAATAGTCCAGCTAGTGTATGCTATTAACCTGATACTTTCAGTATTAACTATATATGGAGTATACTTTGTTGTGATACTTTGGGAATTAAATGTAGGAAAACTTCCCGGGAGCATGTAGAAAGACAAAACAGGCCACAGAAAACTGTTCTCACAAGGTAAGGCAATTCCAGCAGGTAGCTAGGTCGGTAAGTGGCTGTTGTGTAAGTGTAGGGTAGTCCGAGAAATTTAACATACTCGTACTAGAAGAAATAAATATTTAAAATAAGAGTACATATTTCACAAATCATGGCAAAAATTAATTACGAGTAACACTTCCTTTAATTTAAAGTACACAAAGTTGGAGAGTCTGAATGGAATGAGCTGACTCGACCGGATACCACGGTCTCACAGAAAACCAGAGTTCAACAATCTTTTCGTTGCTTTTCACAGAGTGAGTGAGGGTACCGGAACCCTGTCCTCCCCTTGCTCTAGGGGAAGAGATTTTAAGATTGGCAACTCACTTGTGACTCTTGAGTTGCAGGTGTACATGGGCGATGGTAGTCACTTACCATCAAGCACCGGTAAATTGGATTAAAAATCTATCTAATTTAAAAAGCTGCGATTAGTGCTTGCTAGTGACGGAATTTATACCCGACATATTCCATAACCTGATAAAGCAACTAATTTGAAAAAAAAATAACTGTTTTTAATTGCGATTTAACGAAAAACTTCGTTTTGGTTCGGCTATTAATTGAAATTACTTAATTAATTTCCCACTTTACTTATTAAACGTATAATTAAAATTTCAGATATGATTGATTTTCTCTACCATAATTAGTACACAAAATTATTAGTTAATTAAGTTTACAACCATTGTGTTCATTCGATCTCATTGCAACCATAATCATCCGTGACCACCATAATTGCAATCAAAGCGTTAGCGTCATAAATAAAAACTATCATACCTTACAAATTTTACAGCTATTAAATGCCGATAGACATATTAATTAAATATTAATCGGGACTTAATCTCTGTCACATAACATTAAGTTTTATATCAACAAAAACAAACTTCCCTAACACAAGATAAGATATACTCAGGAATTTAAAAAACTTGATAATAACGGATCACTCATTTTTAACTAAGAAATAATATAATTACAAACGATATATTTTATAGGTATAAACGTACTATACTGACCCTAAGTTAATTGGACCGAAGAATGACCCTGGGATCAAACGACCTGATAACAGATGAACATGTGTAGGTATGTTATCATTCAACCACGACTGTGTTTTAATTTTTATCAATAAAAAATATAACCACTCAACTATGAGATGATATTTTTAATAATTTTGGAGGGAAGAGTGAAAGAAAATATTTTGGGCCGAACCTAAATAAATTTTTACTATGGGTAATAATAGTGAATCAACTTCCATTGAATTAAATAAAAATGCAACATGATTGACTGATGCAACGGACTTGAAGCACTGTTGTTGTAAATGTTTTATGCAACATGAATGTTTACATAAAATATTCACAACAAGTGACAAGAAAAGCTATGAATAAACTAACTTTCAAATACCTTTAAATACTAATTTACAAACAATAAAATTATAAAAGGATAATCCAAGGCAATTCCAGCTTCCACGTTCGGTTTGCAAATGATATCGACACTAGTAGAGATTTCTTTTCTCTTGAGTGTCTCTTCAGATAGAGGGCCTCAGTACGCTGCTTGAAGCTTTAATTGAATCTTCCTACAAGGGCTCACCTTTTGGTTCCATAAAAGAACATATACATCACGAAGTTAATGTCAAAAATTCATGTTGACCCTATTGCGTCATGGTTGAAAAACAAATTCTTGATATTGTTGATGGAAATGTGTACTTAGAAAAAGTCCAACCCGTATTTTAAACCAGCATAAGTTCGAACAAAGAGATTTAGCGTCGTGCAAAAAGCGCAGCGAATGACGCCTACCAAGAAGGTGGATATATATAACAATATAAAGATAGAACGTAATGTTAAAATGATAATAGTAAATAGTATAATACATGGCATTTTCTTATTTAGTAAGTTCCACATACGTCAGGTTTTTGTGTTGTGTTGTTCCACGTTTTTGTGGTCAGTACGAAGCAAAGGTGCTTCGTACTGACCACAAAAACCTTCAAATATCATCTTTCATGAACTATAAATTTCTACTTTTACCCGTGGCCACCAGGGCGTAGCGGTGGGACAACATATAAAAGGGGATAAAATTTGTACAGGAAGTAAGAATTGTGTAAACAATTAGAGATAAATTGTTTGAAATCGATTTCGTACGTTTGCGTAAAGAGACTGGCAGAGCCCTATTATACCTATCTGTAAAATGGCCATACGTAACAAACGTCACGCCTATGGTCGCTAATCGGACAATTTAGTAATGAAAATGGGATATTTTGGGAAATATTTGAAAGGGAATACAGTAATCTTATTACTATATGCAAGAATAGAAATATATAAGGTAATTTATAAGTAATATATAAGGTCGAAAAGGTCTGCAGCTCGATCTTGTCTTCAATTTAAAAACCTTTTCATGCTCAGTAGGCAGGTAGGTAACATCACAAAATTTGAATATTGTTTAATTACTTTTATCGACATCCGTGTGGTGACGGACTAAAAATACGGAGTGTCACCACCTCTATACTTCCCGTGGGTATCGTAAGAGCCCACTAAGGGAGTAAAATACGCAGGACAAGAGCACTGCAAAGAGAGGGAAGCTTGAAACAAACCCTATGTCAACCCGTCTGGCCAGCGTGGTATAGTAGGGCAAAACCTCCTTTCTAAGGAGCGGCCTTTGTCTGTTATAGGCTGTTGATGATGATGATGACTATTATAACTTAATCCTCGCTTACTAAAAATGTCTATTTCTAGTCATTCAGGTGTTTTACCTACATTTACATCAATAGATGTATTTTTTAAATTCAAAACATATATTGTACAAAAATAAATGTTCTCATAGTATAATGCAGTGCTTAATTTGAATTTACATAGCATTGTGTAGTTCCAAAGATATTTGTAATTTATTTATCCAAGTTTTGAAGCACAGAAATACGTGCATCAAAAGACAGTCATTTCTTATCAACACGCTTCTTCTTTCTTTCTTATATTCGGGTTAAAGTTTGTAAATATTTTCTCTAGTTATGCTTCTAGTTATAATTGGTCAATAAATAAAATTAATTACCTTTTATATTAACATATTATTGACATAAACATGTTTAACGAGTGTATTTTCTAGAGTATCTGTTACGTGGTTTTTGCTTGTTTATTATGTTTTAATATTAGCCTCATCATCTTCAATTTATAGATTGAAAACTATAGCTAATTCTGAAATAAAGCAATGTACAACCCTGTCTATAAACAGTTCTACTGTGGGCAAATGATTGCTTTTAATTAGAAAATTTTTGATAAGACGAATAAATGGTTTATGTATCAAGCTTACAGAGCATTAACATTTTTGAGATACTTGGATGTTACACTATTCAATATCAGTTTCGTAGTACATAAGATCATATTTTTAGATTCTCTGTGTGAAATATCGTTAGTAATAATTCTGATATTGTTGCTACAGAATGTCCGCAATCGATCGAAAAACGAGGAAAGTAGTAATTCATCTGCTTGTAAACATTGTTATCTAATTATTTAAGATAACTCGTTTATTACTAGGTATAAGAGCGGAGAATAAATATTTACAAAAAAATCACTTATTTTTTTAATTTATCTTAAATAACATATGCGGAAGTCCATCGGTTCACTTTTACGTTGATCATTCATAATAATCATGATTACTGGAGTTGAAACCAATTACATGCGAACTTCTGGGATTTCGTAAATGGGATTTTTTCTCTGTACTTTAGATGTTTTGCAAAAAATAATAACTACGTTTGGTCTGAGTATAGAAAAGAAGGTCATCCAAAGAGTAGATTTAGTGTAATCTGATATTAAATGATCCGAAATGTCCGTGTGGTGAGGGATTAACAATGCAGTGTCACCACCCCTATTCATCCCGTGGGTATCGTAAGAGACGACTAAGGGAGCCAACTACGCAGGACAGCAGCACTGCAAAGAGAAGGAAAACTTGAAACAAACCCTTTTTTTTTTTTTTGTGTGGAAATCCCCTCGGACCGTCACCCCACCGGGGTTTGCGGCGGGGTGGTGTGTCGGACTCGAACCGACTAAAACCACACGGTGTGCCCTCTTTGCGCTTCCAGTTTAGGAGGGGTCCAGGTAGTTATCGCCTTCTGGACCCCTCCTAGCGCCGGCCCGCTCCTATTGCGGGCCCCGTCTCAAAATTGTTTTCCTCTCTTTAGGCGACGTCCGGCACACGCGGACGCCGCCCCCTCGCGGCTGGCCAAACTATACCAACCCGTCTGGTCAGCGTGGTATAGTAGGCCAAAACATCCTTTCTAAGGCCTATGTCCAGCAGTGGACTGTGGCTGTTGATAGATGGATGGATATTAAATTTTTAATATATAAAAGCAAAAACTTGTAATGAAACACTGTATTTATTTTCTATTATTAAAAAAGAAAATAATATAAGCAGTCTTATATCAGTAAATAAAGTAAACATCTAAATTGCACTTTCTTAGACATTATTGTGAGAGGACAAAAGCCACTTTTATCTTAATTCTAAAACCGTTCTGAATTACTTTACTCGTCTGGTTCTACCTTTAATTTTTCCTATTTGTTATAAAATTCGCATATTTGCTTCTAATTCAGCAATCTGTAATTCTATTTCTGTCCAATCATCTCTTTTTCATTAACTACTCTTCTTACTAGATAACTGCCGTAAACAAATTTTGGAATCTATTTTAAATTAAATTATCTTATCGAAATAAAACTTTGTATTAATATT